CGACGACGCCAGGGAAAGGGAGGCTGCCCGCAGGCGGAGCGTTGTCTCCTCGTGTCTCCGTGCTCTCCTCTAGGCTCTTTTCACACAGTTGACATTGTAAGTGCTCTGGGGCAGAGACTCTTGCTGGTGTGTTTGTACAGCGCCTAGCGCCGTGGGGCCCAGGCCATGGCTAGTGTCCCCAGCAGCTCGGGTGATGCGAATAATAGAGTATGGGGAGCTCAGAGGTGCCCCAGAGCTGTGGTCAGGGGGCGTTTTGAAAGCCTGTGATGGGAATTAGCAACAGGCTGCGTGAAGGGCTCTGGCAGGTGCAGGGACTGGTCGGTCGTGCCTTGTGTGACGTAGTGGGGGTACTTGCTGGGCTGTGGTGACCCCTGCTGTCTGGAGCAAGACCCAGCAGGGAAAGCCTCACTAGGCAGAGGTAATGCCAAACTTGTTGAACCAGTGGCCAGACACCCCCCATGGAGAGGAACAAAGGAAGGTGGATGCTGCCCTGGCTGGGGGGCAGGGGCTTGGAGAGGGTTAGTTAGTTCCTATCTGGAAGGCAGGGAATAAGGAGCTGGGGAGGGGGGGCAGAGACTCTTGCTGGTGTGTTTGTACAGCGCCTAGCGCCGTGGGGCCCAGGCCATGGCTAGTGTCCCCAGCAGCTCGGGTGATGCGAATAATAGAGTATGGGGAGCTCAGAGGTGCCCCTGAGCTGTGGTCCGGGGGCGTTTTGAAAGCCTGTGATGGGAATTAGCAACAGGCTGCGTGAAGGGCTCTGGCAGGTGCAGGGACTGGTCGGTCGTGCCTTGGCTGGGAGTTAACACCGGCAGATCCTCCCCGTGGTGGGCCCGCTTCATACCGTGCATGTTACCAGGGCCCTGAACTCAGCGCGCTCTGCTGCCTGAAACGCACCTTCTCCCTGCAGATCTTTGCTTTCTTAGCCCTGATGTGCTTCATCCTGGCCATCGGGAACGGCATCTGGGAGTACAAGAAGGGCTACTACTTCCAGGTCTACCTGCCCTGGGCGGAGGGCGTCACCTCTGCTCCCTACTCGGGGTTCCTCATGTTCTGGTCGTACGTGATCATCCTGAACACCGTGGTGCCGATTTCACTCTACGTCAGGTATGCGACCGCGTCCGTTGCGTCCCCGCTGCAGAGCGCCCAGGCAGCCGCAGCCCCTGTCCAGCGCCAGCCGGGCTGCCTGCCCGCCCGGCTCCTAATGCACTTTAAATGCAGAGCCGCAGCGGGGCAGGTCCCAGACCCGGCACAAGTCAGGACTGAGCTGGGCTGCTGGCCAGCCTGCTAACAGGTGTCCTGGCAAGGTGGTGGCGGGAAAGTGCCTGTAGTCTAGCGCATGAGCCTACAAGCTTTTGCTTCTCGGTTACTCGATGAATTAGGCTGCCTCTTGCCCCACACGTTCTGTGCAGGGGGGCTGTCTGCCCCCAAGGCAGGCCTGGCTTCCCGAGACCGCATGGAGCATGCCTGGAGGGTAGGAGGGAGCGGCTCTGTCTTATTGGTGCTTGTGGCCGGGAAGCCGTTCTCAAAGGGCCTCGGAGCCCAGCAGGGGCCTGCCCGGCTGTCTAGCAGGCGTGGCCGTGGGGCCGTTAGCAGACACGCGGCACCACACACCACCACGAGCCTTGGACTCTGGTGCTCCCTGCAGCTGCTGGCCCCTCCCATCCTCTCTTCCCTTTCCCCCAGTGTAGAGATTATACGTCTGGGCAACAGCTTCTACATCGACTGGGACCGTAAAATGTATTACCCGCTGAACGACACGCCCGCCCAGGCCCGCACCACCACCCTCAACGAGGAGCTGGGCCAGATCAAGTACATCTTCTCGGACAAAACGGGCACGCTCACGCAGAACATCATGGCTTTCAACAAGTGCTCCATCCACGGGAAAGCCTACGGTACGGACACTGCTGCCCTTCCTCCTGCGCCCGTCGCAGAGCGCCCCTCCCCCGGGCTCCCAGAAACGGAGAGGATGTGTAGGAAGGGGGGAAACCACTGGAATTGCGTGTACCACGCGAGAATGACACCCTCCGTGGTGCTATGGTAACCACAGCCCGAGCGTTGTTTTCCCCTTCCGTCAGCCGCCCATTGGCAGCGAGTAGGCCTTGCCCGTCTGTCCTAGAAACCGGGGGGCACTCGAGTCTCTCTCCTCTTCTTGGGTTAATGGTGAGCTTCTTCCTTGGCTCGTGCTACTGGGGCGTTGGGGACACCATGGCACGTGGGCCTGGGACCGCTCCCTGGAAGCGTGCTGAGAAGATGCCAGACCAGGGCCCCGGGGGCTAGGCGTGCTTCCCAGGGCTCAGAGCTGCTGTGCGGCTCTCAGAAGGCGAGGCG